CAGCCTCTGCGTCAGCGTTTGCTGATGGGCAGACCTCCATCCTCATCCTTGGACAGGTAAAAGCACCCCATGGCACCACGTGTCCATGATCTGCTTGGGACCGCTGGCCCGATCCACAAAACCAGGCTGCTCCGGGACATGCTCTAGTCCCACAGGGGAGCCAGTGGAGCAAGGCAATGCCTCGGTTCTCCGGGAGTTTCAGTGGGGACTGAAAGTTCCTCCACATTAAACATCAACGCAGCACTTTCTTGGTGTGATTCCCTGATTCCACAAACCAGGAGAAGACGATGCGCTGCATTGAAGGAGCCTTGGGCTCATGGTCACACGTGTGTTTCCCTCTCACGGACGGAGACCAGGAGCATCCTTTCCCATCTGAGCCTCCCAGGCAACTTGGAGGATAAAAGCTCAAGAGGTCAATTAGTGCACGAGCACTGTGGGTTTTTCCTCTTTTGCCCTAAAGTGAGTGATCAGAAAGATCAAGTAGCCGGAGAGTTTAGAAAAAATTTTCTTAATTTTACAAATGCTTCATGCCTGTTAAAATCAAATTAAATTTTTAGTGAGTCTTGGCTGTTTGCCAGGCTTTTTAGATCTCTAAAGAGCCTTATTTTGCTGCAGATAGGCTAAATCCACTAATTAGATTTCTCAGCCTGAAGTACCACTAACAGCATTCACACACACCGAGGAAGTTTTCCCTTCAAACCGGGGCATTTGCCTGAAATGGGGAAAACTGAATAAAGAAGGAAAAGATGCCGCAGAGTTTTGCTGCTGCTGCTACCCGTGCTGGGCTTGTAAAGCACAAATGCAGTTGTTGAAGTTTGAACCAAGGCAGCGAGTTGTCGGCGTCTTGCCCCGCTCCCGGCACAGGCAGGGTCTCGGGAACCGGGGTGACGGGGAGGGCGGTGGCTCGGTGCTGCCCTAGCGGTGTTCGGTCCGGCCGAAGCCGTGGGGCTCCAGCCCCAGGGCAGGGACCCCCAAACTCTCTGCAGCCTCACTCTGTGCTTGGGCTGCAGGCCAGGAACAGGAGCAGGTGGGATGTTAGAAGAAAAGAAGGTGATGGCCAGCTTGTACGTGCACTTGTACGTACAACTTGCTTAAGGGCTTCTCTCCGACTCGGGATCTTGCACCACTTTTGGGGAGATCCGAGGGCGGGAGCCTTGCAGCTTGCTTTGCGCTGGGTGCTGTGCGTCTCCCACGTGCTTCTGAAGTTCATTTGTGTTTCTCTT